ACTATAGTCAATGTTCACTCACAGGAGAGTCACCAATCTCTAGATCCCAGTGGTTATAGAAACCTGATGCACGAAATTCAGTCAGTATTAAAGGCTACGAAACATCAGGTCTGTTACTCCCTAGTGACCAACTGATAAATTACCTATCTCTGATATGACACCCAGTAATAGCCTCAGAACTTGTGTAAAACGCGAACAATGAAGATTTTGAAAGATACTGGTTTTGCCTTCCTATTGTTTTGAATTTACAATGTCTAACTTTATACGAACCTTATGTCTATTCAGATTCGCCCACTTTATTTATCACTTTCATTTATATATTTTATACATTTTGTATTTATTATATATATATATATATATACTTGGGTACTGTTTAGAAGTTATATCAAGTCAAAGTGAAAGGTTAGGGTACTAAGTTATCTGCTCTGTATAAGGGAACATTTTTCATTAAATAACGAAGGAAATACTTCATGCCCCCAGGCGAATTGATAATAGGCACTTTATTCAACTCCAGCAACATGTACAGAATCACCGGTCAAAGGTGATGGAAGCATCGGAATCTTGTTTTATTCGTAAATACTGAACTTACAATTTTTGGAGAGGAATTCAACTTGGGAAAAAATTACATTAGTAAGCTTTTATGGTACCTTGATGACAGTCTTTCATTTTTATTGCTAACGATTTGAGGTCAGCACGGCATTCTTATGCGTATCATGCTTATCCACTATGAACAGGCTATATTTAGTAATAAAATCTACATTACAGTGATAGTCTGTAAGCGTTGCGAGGTCTACACGAAGTGAACTTACTTTTAAGATATCAGTGGTGGACTTTTCTGTAAGATTTCTTTTGTGCCGTAGTTACTTAGATGGAACAGTGTCGTTGTAAATTTGAAAATAGTGAAGTGGTGGTGTCAGTCAGAATAAAGTATAATGACTTTTTGTGAGTAAATCTGTGACTAGTTGAACGACTAGGATAACTTCGAGTCATGTGGATAGGACTTCGACTAACTGCAGTCACAGTCAGGTCAGTTGTACCAGTAGAAACAGTTTAAAGTTCCCTTTTATTTTTCTTATTGACATCTACTTCAAAGATCGATTAAAAAAGACTATCTTGTGTCTATTATTTCTTGAACTATCATTAAAAAAGCGAATGTTCATAGCCAGTTTATTTGGCTATTCTAACTATGATTGAAATTCTGGGCATTCTTAGTTGTGTTTGTTGAGGATTGATTGTTTACAATAAAGAAACTAATAGATTCATCTGTTTTTAAGGAAAAAATTATTGCCTACTAATTTCCATCATGCTTCTGAAAAGTACAGTCTGTTCAACAGTTAATTGAAGTCATATTTAAGTAAATATTATGGTTTGTTTTACTACTTTCGTTTGTATAATCTAAGATTTCATATAAAGAAAATAAGTAGGTTGTTTCATCACAATGATTTCAGTTATTCGTTATTGATTTACCAAATCAAATTCTCAGTTTACACATTTTGAGGTGACTACTTCACCACAGTTTCCTAATGGAAACCGAAGTTATTCAGATCAGAATATGTTTTCTGTCTATTGTTCAGTGAACAGCACCATTTTTTCTCAGACAGAGAGGTAGGGAGATTATCAAAGTTGTGTACCCTATCTACAGAAACAGAGGGATACAAAAGCAGTCATATTGTAACAACACGAGACGAGGGGCAGGCAACAGATCGTTTATTAAGGAAAATCAACACATATTCATAGATTTTAATGTACATTACTGTAGATTACTGTTAGTAGAAAATACAATCTTTTGATTAGTTGTTTCTCACAGAAAGTTAACCTTGCATCTCTTTGTGGCTGTGTCAGATCATCCATATGCTAACTGTACCCGCCTACACAAAGCCTTTATTCTCATTTTCTCATCACCAATATTGGGGACATAAACATTGACGTCAATTACTGTCTACCAACTTTGGCTAGCAGCCAGCTCTCACCACAATATTACTTCCACATTTTTTACATACAATTCCATTATTTTCTATCCTTTAATTTTATTAGTAGTAATATTTTTCACATCTCTGGTATAGGCATTGAATCATTCTTATTGCACTTGTTAAGTTTGGATTCAATGAACAGAGATTCGACAGACTGATTGTTCCTTTTTGAAGTATTATTCCTTCTTCAATCAAAGCTATACAATAATCTTAAATCAGTTTTCACTCTGAAGAAGCGGTAAATTAAGCTATGCGATCGGGTTTTATAGACGTTAAGATGACAGCATAAGTAAGAAATATTACTGGTTCATTCATTCTAAAGTTAATTATCGCATAAAAATTAATAGTATATTCCTAAAATATGGTGCACAACACAGTTGATAAACAAGACTTCCAAGACTCTCTGTGAAATGAATTTTCTCGCGTCTTAACAAGACACTTTGTTCATATTATTACCTCCTGGGTATTGTGATTGTTATTTAGGCAAAGTAATTACATGTTAGTATCAGTAACTGGATACAATTTACAGTGACTAATTGTAGCAATGATAACTTTATTTCTATTGTAACAAGTTACAGTAAGTTATTTTCACAAATTACTGTCAATCAATAACTTTATATTAGGTGGACAGTTTTCATATATGTCGATTAGACTATCTGAAACAGTCTTTGTTCAGTAGACTGATGATATTAATGACTTGGACTAGCCCCGAATTTTTTCTCGTCACCTAGCGATAGTGGGTTCATACCATCTAAATTAGTACTATTCGAATTTCTATGAGATATCATAATCCATCTGGTGGGATGGTGGTAAATACAAAGTTTTCTGTTGGTTGTTCACAAGACAGCTGAAATTTTCGAAATGTAAGGTGAAATCGCTACCAGGTTAGTAACTCGGCTCTCGAGGTTTCTTTTCAATCACCTTACAACTTTAATAAAAATCTATATAGGAAATCGAGGAAGTATTCGGCATGTTAGTCCCATCTAACACCTGAAATTATCAAACTGCCAACTTTCTCATGTTTCGTTTGCCACAAAGTGAAGTGGATAGGTAATGCATCATATTTTATGAAGGCTAAATTCCTAGCATTTCACTTTCTAAGTATCTGAAGTGAGTCGTGTTGTTGTACTTCCTTATCACATTTGCAGCACCAATGTGCTTGTTTATTTACATATGATGACTCTCTTATGTCTAGTCCTGAGTGTTAGAGCTGAAGCTTGTAATGTAGTCATCAAGCAAGCAGACTTGCCATCGAGGTGTACTTTGACTGCCTATTATATGGTTAGAGATCCAAATAGTTCATCGAGAATATCTCTGACTGTAGCATAGTGTGATGCGCTTTTGAACCACCGAGGTGATATAGGTTCAATCAAGCTTTTTGATCTGTCTCAGTAACCACGAAAACTAGGTTTCCTACCGACTGCTTTCAACCACCTGATAGTGTTTTTATTTGTTGAATATTATTAACATCATGGTCTGTATCACTAACTGAACAGACATGCTACTCATCTGTTTGTGATCATCTCAATTTACAAGTTTTGAAAATTATATATATATAAATTCCAGTGTTTGTGTATTACCATAGAAGCATGATTTCAAAGCATGGGTATACACAGAACGAGAGATTAAGCTAGAGAAATACATCTGTTCTTCACATGAAATCTAATACAGGTTTTATTGGAAAAGATAGGTTGTTGTAACTGCTACACTATTAAACCGTATCATATGATAGCTCTAATTCTGAAAAAAAACTGTATTGAGGAGTCATGTGCAAATAAGTTGTGTTCTTACAATCACTGTGTTATCGGAAAATGTGAAGCTGGTATTGTCTTTGAACAGACATGGACCATTAACTTATCTATCTCTTTATCCCAAATGGATTATACTTTCTGGAAAGCAGTTATTATGGTATGCTTTATTACTGGTGAGAGGTGCTGCTATCGTTGGAAAATCGTATCGTAATGACAGGTTTAAAGAACTGTTAGTTCAGTTACCAGCAGATATGTTTTATTGAGTTGCTCGTAGATATTAAGCATTCAAAGGATCCTTGCTTTTTCCCCCGCTAAGCGGACTATGTTTAAAAAGACACAGTCTATTTCTTTTCTTCTAGACATTTTTCTGGAGGTAAATATTTGGATAAAATATAATTGATTCACATTTTCTATTTGATTTTACTCTTGCATCTCATCTTTGGACTTAAAACATTGACCCCATAACTATACTCTTTGGATCAGTGTTACCTGATAATCAGTGTATTAATTAACTAATATGTATGTAAAGAGTATCTGGACCTCCCAACTACACCTGAAAAGATAGTTACGGAAAAACTACAGAGTAAAACAGTTTCAGAGTAGCCTGGAGGCCTTAAGTCTTTCTGGAACCCATTTATTGTCTTCGGTGATGCACTGAGTGAAAAGGTGTAAAGCAGCAATAACTGTCAGGGTTCTTTTAATTATTGATATGAGAACATGCGTGAGTAAACTGAAATGGTGTAGGTATGAACACAGACACGAACAAGTAGACTTGTTTTATCCTAATTACTAAGTTATTGGTTAGTCTTTGGAGAATGGATAGTTTACATTCCGTCTTCTTTTCCCACTACTACTCATTTAAAATATCATTAGATATAAAGGTATGCTTAAGTAACACTAGTAGACATACTTGGATGACTTACACTTTTTGTATTCAAACATTATACTGTCAAATGTGAATATTTAAGGGGAATCTGATATCCATGGTGTAGTATACTGCCTAATAATGCATACAAAATTCTATTCTTCTCCCTTATGTATTTTGTAAAGTGAAAATAAATACTATAAGAAACGATAACGCTTTGATAAGTTTCCCTCAGACCAAGTTAATTATCATCACTAATTGGATCTAACTTCTTTGTAAAGTACTGCTATACAACTAAAGACCACGGGTAAGTAATTTAGACTAGTCAGTAAATATACCAAGTGTTATTTATATTGTTTATTGTACAGTCTGTTGTTGCAGAGAATAAATAATCTTGTATTACCTTTTTTACAGTGGCGAACGTTAAGGGTTATATGGACCCAATGGCTGGAGCACCTACTGACTTTTTAAATCGCATAAATGAACTAGTAAAACTACAAGAAGCAACCAAACGATGGGAACGAACACGATGTCGTCGTCGTGTGAAACGAAAGACATTACCAAACAGTCAAACCTTGAATCAGGTGGATAGTCAAAACTAATTGATGTCTTTCTGTATAAGTTTCTAAATTTTAATAAATTTTTGTATTATTTTGTTATTCAGTGAATGCGATATTGAAATTAAACATTCTAAGCCTCTTGCATTCGTAATTTAACGTAGTTTCATTCATTCCAGCAGCAAAAGACCTATGTTGAAAAGATTTATTGAAAGTTAAGAAGGACTTAGTAGCGTTTCATTTCTACGTTGAAACCGATTATCAGCATGTAAAATCAATAAGAATAGTTTCTTGCTCTCTGGTGGCTGCCTAACAGTTACATGTAGGCAAGTTACTTTTTGAAAGAATACGAAATTCCCAGAAAGGAGTTGATTTGGATGAATTTAATCGAACGTAGCTATGAAAGCAAGATATTCCAAAGAAATTTTAGCGTAAATCTAGAGATAAGATTATTAGTGCACTATATGAATTCATTGTTTCTCAAATCATAGATTTATACGGCATGAGTGAACTAGCATGTTTTAAACAACAGTCAAGCACAGCTTTTTATGTTGAAGAGTATTAGGAGGTTAGTTAACAAATTTGGTTCTGAACTCGTCAGGTTTAGGCTTTTTATTCATGAATAATGCAACTTGTATCAGTTTAATTCATGTGGAATGTTTTACTCTACGGCTGTTCATGAACATAATAGGGTAGATTTCCTACGGTTTGGAAAACTCATATTTTCAGTTCATTGTTGCAGTATAAAACTACAATAGTCCTAATTTAAGCCCACTATAGTAGCTTTAAGCAATCATGACCAGTTGTCAATAATTACCAGGTGGGAATAAGCTAATCACTAGACATCTACTCCCCATAATTAGTGGTGAGTTAGTAAATGCAAAGCAAATATTTATCACAGCTTTCATGTTCAGTCCTTCAGGGCCATTCTTCGTGCTGGATAGACTACAAGTTCTGCTCAGAACATTCAGGCTTTTTTAATGTATTGGTTTTTTGTAGGGATTAAGTTTGATTGATTGGAGGATTTCATCATGAGCTGACATCAGTTAATGTAAATCCTGAGAATAGAATAACTTCACCATAAGTTATTTCCACCAAAAATTAATGTTTCTATAAATAATTTCCCTGATTACCTATTTTTTAATTCTTATTCTTTAAGTATCCTACTACTTTATCTAAGAATGACTAGATTAATTCATTTAGAATCCTTCACAAATATTTCAACGCATCATTTCATCATTTTGTCAGCTGACACTTTTGTAATTAATGTGAAAATGTGATTCCATGTAATGTGAACATGTAGGTAGTGAAATGTTTCATATCTCTTTAGTTTTTTGCTTCTACATCGCTATTGAATTATTTATTAGCACGCAGTCTGAAGTACACCTGATAGAGCTCACACATTTTAAGAACATCACTCTGTTTGGAGCTGATCGGTCTAAATGCTCAGCTTCCAACCACTGGCTCACAGGTTCTAACCCTGCTTTACTTGCAGAGGTTTAGCAGCCAGGTAGCGTCATTAGTCCTCATACAACAGATGTGACCCATTGTTAGTTTCATGAAAAATGCACGTGGCTGTTAAGTAAATAGAGGATTCAATGCTATAAAATCTATTGCATCATTTCTAAAAACCTTGGTTACGAAATAGCGTGCCTTTCATAAGGAAAAGGTTTTCTAATCCCTCTCGTCCTGAATGTGAAGACAAAAGTGTTCTTAGTAGACATCTTGAGATTATTATAAATTGGTAAAGTTGATGGCACCACACCACCCTTAAATCTGATCTCCACTTCCATTGCTCTTCAGTTGACTTTTGAGGTATGATAGGACTTGTTAGGTGAAATGTTCCAGTCACTATAACTAGTAGGTAGTTACTACTAAGGTGATACATCAGCTATAGCATTAGTCTTTGATTTAATAGAAATTTAAATTAGTCATACTACATGTTAGGCAGAATGTCCAAAGAACAAATTATGAATATTTTTTCACTTTTATCAAGTGAACCTACGACTATTAAGAGCTCACATGATTCGCGCATACCTTTTTTGACAAATATAAATAATGCAGAGAAACACTAAAGAAGAGAGGCAATGTACCACTATTTTTTGAGTGAAAATGAAACACAGATCGTAAAAGTCACTTGACGGCTTTGTGACGTTGGGCGAAGTTACACTTTAAGCACCAGTAAGTACCAACGAAACAAATGACCTTGAACGCACCAACCACATGATAAAGGCGATATTTGAGTATAAAACACATATATTCATGAAAGTAATGAATTAAGAGATATGAAACTATTATACAAGATATCTTTCTCTAGCGTGTGACAAAACACCCCTTAGTTTTGTATTGGAGTATCAACAGACTAATTTAACCATATTCTATGCATGTAATTATCTAGGTCTTCTAACCCTAACAATAACCCTAATTTTTCCTTAACCTGACCCTAACGTGAAAATATCCCTAAACTAACTGTAACCTAACTCGAACCTAACCCTTACTTGTCCTTGGCTTAAACAGTAAATTAATCTTTCCCAAACCTAAGCTGAAACTTGCCAGATATCCCATTTAATAACGTAACACTTCATTGAGCATATTTTATACATGATAACATTATTCGCCAGATCTCACCGACTTGCCCAGTGAGCGTTTCAAGGTTGCTGGTGCAGTCGCACTCCATTAGTACTTACTGGTGCTGAAAGTTGAATTTGGCCTGACGTTGGGAAAGGAGTAATTTGCAAGAACAGATTATTTGTGTTATAAAGCAGTTGACAGTCTCAAGAATCTATTTGAATTTATTGCAACCGGTTCCCTTTATTAGTTTGAAGAGAGAAAGAATGAACATGTTTGCAGGATAATACGAGCTCGTTTTATTTCGTGGATTCTCATCAACTGCATACATCCTAAACAAAATCAAATTATAGGTTTCAAGAAAGTTGTGGAACATACTTTTTCATAAATACTTTGAGTTATAGATAGAAGGCATAAGGAACATAATTCCAGAATTTGATGTAGGTAGACAGATTATTCGGTGTCAAAAAACAACTAATTATATATAGTGGAATTAGATAAGAGGGGTAAGAGTTCAGATTTCTATTGGAAAACAACACAGATTGGTTAGAGGCATATTACAGGGTCAGGGTCAGAGAACAAAGTAAATTTACACATCTTGTGGTGGAGAGTTTAAGAGGGTGGGGGTGAATAGTGAAGTAACATTTATAACTTAAACAGACAAACAATTAAGTAGATTTAGAAACTTGAAGGTCAAAATTGAATAGAATGTTACGTAACAAGACAAACACACAGGCATACTGACAGAAAGGCAAAACAAAAATAAAATAAAATAGAGTTAGGGTTACCAAGGTAGTGAGAGATTAATCACACTATCTGGATTTATGTCATTTTCGATGTTTTGTGCATAAGCTTTCTGCCTAAAATTAAAAATCCAGTTAGATCGAGCAGTAAAGTAGTGAGCTATCAGTATGTGTTAGCTAATTATATGTGTGTATTTAGGATTTTACTGTTTATGATATTGACTACTGAACCTGCACATTGTTACAATGCAGTACTTTAGAAGTATAGTTTTCAGTGGTATTTAGTTACTTGATGTACACTTGATACAGAGAAGAAGTGGTGGGATGATTACCTAATGAATATCTGGCCTCCTTACTTCACTTGGTATAAATCGTCATGTCACTATCAGAATTGTGAAAGGTTCAGGAGACCACAAGCTTGCTGTGTAGTAAATGAACTTGTTTGTCGCATAATTACACAATGCAGCCCACATATTGTAAAAATGAGAACCAAAACGGGAATCTTTCTCACAGTGATGAGCTTAATATTTAATCTGCTCAAATGGCAGCCTGATTGTACACATAGTTCTAATGACTGTAAATTCCCTAAAATGATTTTATTCTGACTTAACATAGGAAAAAGTAGAATTATCCAAAACTCGCACATTTGTGACATAGACCGAATATACGAAAGTAATACACATGAGATTCACCCAGAATATTTACATCTGACAGTATAATGATTGAATACAAAAAGCACAACTCATCCAAGTATGTCTAGTAGTGTTGCTTAAACATACCTTTATTTCTAATGATACTTTAAATGAATACTAGTAGGAAAAGAAATCGCAATGCAGACAGACCGAGGGAATGAAGGTAAACTGTAGGTGGAATTCAACTCTCACAAGAAGACCTGTATTGTCGGTTAATCCATACAGTTTCGTGCTCTCTGGTGGCTGCCTGACAGTTGCATGCAGGCAAGTTACCTTGTGATGGAGTACGAAATTTCCAAAAGGGAGTTGATTTGGATGAATGAAACCGAGTAAAGAGCTATGGAAACAAAACATCCCAAAGAATTTTCGTTATCCGATTTCAGGAGAATATTTCCTCACCTCAATGTTCATGTGACGGAAAGCTTTTATTGATGATTAGTCGTAGTAAAGCACTGGTGAATGTTCAAGTTGAGTATTGATTAAGCCAAATGCCTAAATGTTGTGTGTTGAACAGCAGGAAGACTAAGGATGATATATATATGTTTTTGGTGATGAAAGAGAATCAGTTTACTTTTAGTTTGAGATAATTTCTTCTGCAACTATTTCTACCTTGTTATTAAAACAAATTGGAACCATTGACTGTCCTGGTACAAATTGCAAGGAGAACCTTATTTTGCCACTCACATTTTAGTGGTACACAGTGAAACCCAGTCCGGAAAGACTTGATTGATAAACGTCATATGTAGTCTGTGCTTGAATGTTTGCTTGAAAATGTACACTGTAAAAGCATATATTTCTAAAGCATTTCTTCACGACGAGATACACTTAGTTTGTTATTTTTCAGAATGTGGTCATCAATTATAAGTCATCGAGAGTTAATTTGTTTCTAGCGCATTTAATTCAATAGATTGTCTTATTTTATGGTTCAGTAGTCAGTGATTTCTTGATTTGAGAGTTTGCATCTTTTGTGTTGAAACTTGCAATTATTCAATCAGTGCCATTTGCGAGAATTCCATCGTAATCAATGGTGATAGTAAGATCA